GGCTAGCTGAAACAGAAACTTATTCCTCACAGCGCTGGAGGCTGGAAGTCCAAGGTCAAGGTGTCAGCAGCACTGGCTCCTTCTGAGGTTTCCCAGATTGGCTTGCAGGTGCCTGTTTTCTCCATGTGTTCTCTCCTGTGGGCGCACATATGTAGATCCTAGTTTTCTCTTCTTCTAAGGACACCAGTCACACTGTATCAGGGACCACTTACATGACCTCATTTTACCTTGATTACTACTTTAAGGACCTTGAGCCGGGACAGTCACATTCTGAGTTGCTAGGAATCAGGACTTCAGCATGTGGATTTGGAGTGCATCGCAATCCCTACCTGATTATGAGGCACATTGCACACCAAATGATAGATTACTGTACTTGACCACCTCTATCAACATTCGTAATAGAATCTTGTTAAAACCACTAAATTCATGTTAGTTAGCAAACTGAATATTGATGGTTTCCCCGGAAGTCAAATATAGGGCTTATTTTCAACAACTACTAACTATTATGTGGGTGAATTATGTGGGTGACAGCCTGCATTAGACGGGGCTTGAATTATACACGGCAATTAGTGGCTTGAGGTTCTTATTTTAATTGTAAACCTTTTTGTTTAAATAAATCTTTTGATACCTTAAATTCTCTTTTTAAAATAAAAACACAACAGAAATAGAGTTTTCATTAGACTATTTTTCATTAAACTGTTTCTTATGTGCTTCCTGAGCTAGTGGACATGAGAGCCTTATCCTGATGGAGAAGTCAGTTCTGTCCTAGGCTTGGCCCCCTTGTACGTTAATTGTCTGTTTTGAATTCCATAAGCTAAGCACATGTGTATGAACCAGGCTTCATCTTCGCCTTGAACTACAGCTGCCATCAAATGCAGTGTTTTATCAGTCCCTCTGATCTTTTAGGAAATCCTCAGCTCTGTGATTCCTGACTCATCATTATAGAAGTTGCGTGTTATCTCTGCATGCTTTCAGAACAAAAATTCCTCTGAAGATTTAGAAACCAGCCCTTGAGTGATATGAAGAGGACCTAAATTTTGGCCCAACAGTCTGATCTTTGTAACGCAACCTTTCTGGGCTTTCCTTTCCTTACCTGCCAAATTTAAAATCTGTTTGCATGTCCCTTGCAACTCGAATGTCCTGTGGCTGTTTGAGGTTGTGGTATAGGAAACAAAACAATGGTACGTGATCTGCTTCACAGGTGGTGCTGCTGGTGAGCGGCCCTACCCCCCTGGAGCGTAAGATGAAGGAAGAGTAGAAGCCACAAAACAAGTAAATCAGCAATTACACTGTGAAAAATGTTATGGAGCAAAACAACAAGTAAAGTGCTCTGAGGTCCCGGGGTTGTGTGAAAGAAATAGATGTTGGTTCATTGATCTTTTTCATGATCCGGGCGCTGCCTTCCTGCCACTGAAAGAAACAATGGCTTTGCCACGTCCTTGTTCCAGAGGAGGCGCGGGCTTCACCCTCATGTTGAGTGTGGAGGGGAGAACGTGCCACTGGAGCCTGGTGGAGCAGAGAAGGTCTGACTGCCTGCCTGCCAGTCGAGGTGCTGGCTGGTGGGGGTGCTGCATACCCTCCCCAACGAGCCCGTGATGAGATGCCCACCTCCATGCAGTGACGTCCCGTTAGTGTGGTGAGATTCAGAAATGCCACTCCTTTAACCCGCCTTTTTCTGAAATGGAGGATTATCAGGCTTTCTTTTGCTTTATTTGATTTAATTTATCCTAGAGAGAATTATATTCCTTGGAATGCCTTGGTTATTTTGTGTTTCAAATTTACCCACTTGAAGTAAAATCATGTGATATGATGGAGGTGTTCACTGATGCCACAATGGTAATCATTGAGGTATATAAATGTATTAAGTCAGCATATTGTATACCTTAAACACAGTGTACACAATGGTATATGTCTATCGTATTTCAGTGTTTAGAAATTTCTGTATAATCACGACTAGTCACCAGACCGGGTCTCTGCAATGGGAAGAACAAGATCCCATCACTGCCCACAGGAAACTTCCCCACAGGAAGATAAGTCCCTGGTGAAACAATGCCCTGACTTGGGCTTCGTGGACACTGCAGGAGGAAACATCTGCCTGGGAGCGGGCGGAGGGGCACAGAGAAGGCTGCCAGCCATCAGAGCAAGGACACAGGACAGCAAGAGTCAGAGCAAGGTGGCTGGGAGGCCACTTCAGACAAAGGACCTGTCTGTGTGGGGACCTGGTCAATTGCAGGCTCTCTGTGCTGCAGGACCCTGGACGACTGGAGCACAGAGCAGTGGGAGACGGGGGACAGGAGCCAGAGGTTAGAGGTGTGCAAGCTAAACGCAGCCCATGGTTGACTCAGGACAGTGTTGGCACTCCATGCAGAGGGTCTGAGGCAGGAGAGGGGCGTGCTCACAATGTGTTCTGGAGATGCCCAGGCGAGAAAGGTTTTCTATGCTAAGGTAAGTGTTCTGGCCACAGAGCAGAACAAGGTACAGGCTGAGGAAGGAAAGGCTTCAAGGAAAGAAAGAGCTTTCTAAATGCTATGTGTGGTGGGTGGAGGGGTTCCAGATGTGCTGAGCCTCGTGCCAGGGGAGGGGGGGCTTCAGGAGGCTCCTCGTGTGATCAGAAGCTTCAGGGAGTGAAGGAGAGCTGGCACGGGTGGTGGACCAGCACTTAAATCCACACTAAGTACCACTCTCCAAAGAGGTGCTAAGCCCAGTGATGTGTCACCTCCGAGACAGCTAGAAATCAGCTGCAGGTATGCAGAACATATGCTGAGAAGTTTTGATCTGTGGTGGTTATTTCAAGTTGAATTATTACAACTCTTGTTAAATTTGGGGTTTTTGCAGTTGCTTAAGAGTTTGAAATGCATGTGAGCATATTGGCATCTGAACTATTATTTGAGCAGCTTTCTCAAAGTAATAATCCATCAAAAATAAATGGTAGACAGGAAGGTGTCTCTGCCAAACTGTTGTGTAGGATTTAGTTCTGTAAGCTGTGTTTCCCATGAAAATGGTGCAGAAATAGGCATGAGGCGAGGATTCCCCAGCTGGACTCCCATTTCCTTTGCCCCCACCCCGCCCCCACCCTGCATTGCTGTAACATAGGCTGTTTTGCCCCAAGAGTCTCCTACCTAAGCTCTCACAGGAGCCTTGCTGTCCACTGGGCGGTGGTGGTCCCCCTTCTCTCCTCTGGCTTAGTCCATGTCCCCTGTCACCACCAGGCCCCAGATAGTAGCTGAAAGCTCTGTGCTGTCACTGCCCCATGGGAAGGCTGGCCCCTCTGTTTCTGGGTGAGGAACTCCTCTCGGTGCTTGGCCACCATCCCTGAAACTCCCACCCAGTCCCCGTCACTGCCATGTTGCTGTGTGTTCAGTCACGCTTCGCACTGGGTGGGGCAGGCAGACCCTGCATCGTGGAAGCTGAATTTCCCACCCGCTGAGAACTGTGATTTCCAAGTCAAAGTTAAGTTGACTTACACAGTAAAGTCATACAAATTTTTGTACACCCAAGACTATGTACATTGTATTTATGAAAATGCCTGCGACCGCCCCCTCCCCTCCTCCCTCTCATCCTTCCCCTTCCCTTCTCGCTCTCTCTCTTCTGCTCACAAACACATGCTTTCCCCCTCAAAGACAGGCACTATGTTCTTAATCATCCCAGCATACAGCTCAATTATGTTTTTTATGCTTGAACTTTCTCAAACACATTTAACCAGCTAGCTTCAAATAAAATTAAGCAGTGGTTTACTAATACTGCACAACTACTTTGTAGTCAATTCCTAATCAATGCATGTTCAACGGAGATGTTTCAGATGTCCATTTTTAAATAAATCCAGGAGAGTGCATGTTTGCATATGTATTTTCTCTCGAAATGTAAACATCTCTAAAGACTTGCAGAGAAACAGAGCACTGAAAAGTATTTTCTGTCGAGAGTCTTCCAGGATTAATGATTGATTGGAAGCCTCAAAGCCAAAAGTTCATGATTTACTTCTGGTTTTAGGTCACTCCTTAGCCTCGTTTTCTGTGTGCACATAATGAGAACGTTGGAATCTTTGCATCCGGATGGATTTTGTTCAGTCAGTGCCTTTGGGGTGAACTGAGGGATGGATGACATCTGGGGAGCTGCTTCTAGAGGGCTGGGTTCGTGCCCTGGGTTTGCAGGCTGGTAGCCAGGCCTTGGTACAGTGCACCAGGGGGAACAGCATGCGTTTCAAGGCTGTGTCTCTGTCTGACATGTGGCATGGACCATGCCATGCCCCTCACTGGCTGAACTGCCCTTCTTCCGTGCTCTTCCCAGTCAGTCTGGGGAGTCTCCGTGGTTCAGGGACTCTCATCCTTGGGTAGTGCTTATAAATAAGTGAGCAGAAACACACAGTGAGCAGAAAGCCTACGGATGGGAGGGGCCCAGGTCAGAAATGGATATTTGTAGTACAGAAAAGGAAACTTTGTGGAGTTGAGACCAAGAAATGCATCCCAAAGAAGAACATCAGAGAAAAAGAAGAAGAAAGTGATCTACACAGAGGAGGAGGAGGGCCCGAGGATGATGTATTTCCCAGGCAGGAGGGAAAAGGGGCCACCTTCGCTGTCCTGAACATTTGCAGTCCCCTGTGGCCTGGGGTCTGCCCTGCTGGGGCAGCGAGTGAGCCCCCTTGACACTAGAAATTCAAGACTGTCTCTTAAAAACTTCTGTCACCTCATGTTCCACATGACATGGCACTATGCAGGCTCCTTGAAACCACGGTCAGCGCTGGTGTCTAGACTTGCCCCAAGACACATGCTAGTGGGGTGCTTCTCTTCCATGGCTGCAGGTTAGGTCTGCTGAGAGCTGTAAAATACGGGTGCCTGTGCCCACATCCAGCACGGCAGATTCACTAGGCTGGGTGCACCAGCATTCTCAAAGCCCGTCAAGATTCTCTGTGTAGCCAGGCTGGAGGAGAACCATGGCTGCTTAACTGCCCAGTGACCTGGGAGACCTGTTGACCTCATTTCCTTTCTTCCCTGTTGTCTTTGCAGATTATGGCACCATCAAAAAGGTGCGGGCGCCCCTGACCCAGAGCTCTGGCAGCTGTGTGCTGGAAGAAATCGAACTCTTCCCCGAGAGACGGCAGGAGGCCATCAGGAGCCTGCAGATCCTGCACAGCCAGAGGGTCCTGTTCGTGGGCCTGCGGGAGCACGTGGCCAAGATCCAGCTGAAGAGGTGCCAGTTCTACCGCACACGCAGGTAGGGCAGCCCCCGGGGGCCGGCCTGTCCGCTGGCGCTCCTTCTAGCTGCGCCACCCGAGAGAGGCCACAGAGGTCTTTAAATTCCCCATGGTTGAATGTCCATGCAACAGAGTTGTAATATGCTTGTGAGTTCTGAGTCCCAGGTGTAGAGTTGTGAGGCAAATGGATTTTCGGTGATGAAAATGACCCACCGGTTATCTGCGGAGGAGGAGGCGCATCATAACGTCTGCAAGCAGCTGTCAGGGTTACAGTAAATTATTCAGTGCCTTAGAACACTCAGTGGTAACACTGATCGTCGGTGTCCCTGCATTAATCTAGCACCGATTTAATTTTATTTCTGTAGTGTGTGTGCGTACACATTCTCTCTACGTATACTTGAATATATACCAGACACAGAACAATAAGAATTGTGTGTCCTCTTAGCCCAGAGCTAATCCGCATACTCAGAGGAGCAATGGGCGTCGCCTCTCTGGGCAGTGCTCATCATGCTGTCCTGGGCACCAGCTGTCCTGGGGTGCCGTCTCTCTCCTGAGGTTCTGGGACCACCCAGGCTGCTGGGATATGGGAAGGAGACGGGGATTTCCACAGGTGCAGGGAAACCCACCTGCCATCACACCACTTTCCACCCTCAGGCCAGTCTGCCGACCCACCATGCATGTCCTGTGTTGACCCCAGTGATGTTTGAAACTCTGGAAAAATGCAGGCGCAGGTGCTGGAGAACCTGAAAAGTCATGTATATACCCTGTGCTTCACGGGCACTTTAATGTTGGAATATCCCATAAATGCTCTGGCCCCTCATGCAAGCTTGTCCCTGGCAAAATCCCAACCTTAAATGTCCTGAGGGATCAGGCCTCTTATTCATTCTAGTGCCCCAAACAGGGCATCAGTGCAGAGCTGGTGTAGAAGTGGGTGTGTGGATATATCACTCACAAGCATCACACGGGTCACTCTTTCTCAAACCAGACACTCAGTGGCACTGCCTCTGGGGCTCAGAGGATTGGAGCCTTGTTCCAGATCTGCACATGCTGTTTCTTGACCTGTCATAGTATTTGAAGCCTCACTTTCTTACCTAACTTGCAAATTACTATAGAATAAAATGGGATGATATAGAGAGTACAAAAATTAAAGCATTCTGCAGACTGTTCTTATGTAGAAGGAAGGTCTTAGGTATAATAAAAATTATTATAATATCCCCTTCTGGGTGGTTCTAGAAGATGAAGTCTACACTGTGATGCCTGCTTTGGTAGTAGAGTGTTGAGAAATACCATTAGGGACTTCCTAGCTAATAACAATGCCATTGCGAGCACTGATACCAAATGGTGATAGTTGATATTACCAACTCTCTTTATATAGCACTTTTTTCCTAACTTTAACCAATGGTTGATTAAATTTGTTTGGATTGGTGTTCCTTGCAGGACTAATTTTGGACAGGAATTATTTGGCCCAGTTGCTGATGGCTCAGTGGGAGGCAGGGGGTTGGGGTCTTGCCAGCAGACATGTCACGCTTCAGAGTGCAGAGAGAAGGACACCAGTTTTGCAACCCCATCCCAGTGAGCTCTGAGTTCCAATAGTGACTTTGTTGGGTGCTTGACCCAGGTTAAAGCGCCGGAAGACACAGGCCTGTGCGGTACGTCCAGTTTTTCTGGTGCCAGAATGGAGTTCATGGCTTGCAAAGAATGAGACCACTCATCCTTTCATGATGCTTTCCTTCATTGGACCTGGGTTGCACATGCTCAGCTCCCTGAAGATTAGGAAGCTAAATCCTCCCTCAGCTCCAGGAAGCCAGGCCTCCACGAGCCCACTTTTGCCTCTTGTGAGACTGCACGTCAAGGCTGCTCACGAGTCCACGGGAGCCAGCTGCCACCAGGCACAGCGGCCAGGGAGCTGTTCACAGCTCTCTCCTTCCGTCAAGGAAAATACGGCCACTTGTCTGTCCTCATCAAGCTCCTGTGGGGAGAAGATTTTTCACTTACATCCAGAGCTGCATCTCCCTGCTGTTTATTTGTCCACTCACTCAGAGAAAGCAGAAAGAACTTATAACTTCACTGTAGACTGATGGAGGGTGGCCTCTGTGTGCCCACACTCAGTGGGGGGATAGTTTGTGTCTGACCCCTAACAGTTCCAGTGGAGAAAAGGAAATCTGGAGATTTTAACTCAACAGTTTCTCCAGATTCTTTATAATATGTTTCTCTGCCATCCTTTTCCTAGTGAAAATTAGCTGGAGAAATGAATCAATTTTTAAGAAATGAGTATCTTTATAACCAGATTTTTTTGCATGAATTACATGGAGAAATTGTGGGTTTTTTTTGACAAAAGCACTGTCAATTTTCCAGAAGTATGCCTTGAAAAGTATATTAAATAGGAACACAATAACAGTTGAGTAATCGATGGATACTGATTTCTTTATTCGGTATACTTTTTGTATGAGGATATAATTTTAGCTACTTCTAGAAACTCAATTTTATCATTGAATCTTAAAGTAGTAAAGAAGTTGGGCTTAACTAATCATACTCACATTTTCCATTTTCAGGAATATCTGGCAATGTACATTATAAACAAATGTTTTTAAATGATAACAATCAATACAATTCCACAAGTTTCTTTTATATACCTGGCACTGTGCTAGATTTTATGACTCCTTAATCATTGTATCACCTTAATCACATACCCCGGGAGTGAAGTCACATATCATCTCTATTTTTCAAATGAAGAAATGGTGGCTTAGAATTTTGGTGCCCCACTCAAGGTCACATAGCTCTGGTAACAGGAAACCCAGGTTCAGGGCCGGGACTTTCTGCTCCCAGGGCCAAGGCCTCACCTCTGGTTCTCTGCGCTGCCCCTGGTACAGTGAGGACCTCATACTCAGTGGTCAGGTTTCAGAGGGGCCCAGCTGCATGATGAAAGCACTTTGCATTGTTTTACTCACTGAGAGAATGAGCTGGTTAGTATCAGGACAAGCCAAACTCAGGTCCACTGACATCTAGTTAGGGCTTTTTCCCAATGGTTTCTCCTTTATTTGCTAGATCCAGCAGACCAGAGGAGTTTTGCGCCCCCTGGCTATTCTAAAGAGAAGTCTAGTCTCCATTCTCCAGTTTTCCTAGAGGTGATGCTGGAGCCTCAGGGGAGGCTGCACTTCCGCAAACCTTCCCACCAGCGCCTTGCGCTGCTTATAACGTGGGACAAACAGCCAGGCATTTTAACATCACAGGGCCGTTTTTCCTCAGAAAGTTATTTTGAAAGAACAATAAAAAAATAAGTAAAACTATGTTTTAATTTTAGCATTTTTTGCACAATCATTTAATTAACAGCGTGAGGACATTATGTAAAGAATTAATCTCGCTCATCAGACTGGGTCATGACCTTTGTGGTGAATAGTGCGAGAGAAACTCATTCTTCTCTGTATTATCTGGCTGTACCCTAGGACTTATTTACCTCTTGTATATATTAGTTTCATAGGGCAAACTAACATTTATTGAACTTTGAGGTCCCTGGGGGATCAGGACAGGCCTGGATATGGTACAACTTATGACAGTGGAAGGCAGGTGAGCTGCTGTCAACCTGGGACCACCTTACCTGCACCGGGTGCACATTCCGGGCTCCCCAGTAGTGGTGTGAGGTCTTGAAAGTGGAAAATGATCTCCATAGGGATGCACAGGAGAGAGCAGCCAAGAATAGCCACTGTCTTCATTCCCGCTGTTGTAAATACCAGTGTAAACCTTATACTTGCAGGAAAACAGACTCCCGCAGAGAACTGAGAGTCCCCATTTCATTGTTTCAGGAAGAAAACACTGGTCACAGGACTCAGGCTGTAATCGGCGAGTTGAAAAATCAGGCTGTTATCCTACCCCCCGACCCCCACCCCGCTCTCTCCACTACCATCTCCTTTTCCTCCTGGGAAATGCCCTGCCATTCAAGTGGCCTGACAGATTGCAGCTCCTGGGTGGTGATGGGAGGAGGGCTTTTGATAAAGACTTTTAAAGTCATTTTAAGGACTGAGCATGAATTAGATCAGTGGGTCAGCACCCTGCCTCTGCAAGGAATTAGAAAATGTGCAGGCTTCCCAGGCTGCCTGGCTTCTGTCGCAGCTTCTCAGCCCTGCCCTGGTAGCGTGGAAGCAGCCGCTGATCGTAGTGAATGGGCGTGGCTGTGTGCCAGCAAGACTCCCAGATACTAGATTCTTCAGGCCAAGGAGTATAATATACTTTCAGATTCAGAGAGTTTATTATTTTCATAGACAACAAAAGCAGGAGCAGAAAAGGTGTCCCCTACCGGTGCTCCTTGTCCCACAGGATGACACCAACACAGAAGGGCCCAGACGAGCATGCGGCAGAACTAGGGCACCACAGTGCAGAGCAGCCAGGCTGCGCTGCAGCTGAGGGGTAGAGCCTGCAGCTCCATGAGAAACTGCGTCACAACAGAGGACCAGAGGCAGGTGCGAGTGCAGTGGCCTGGCACAGCTCCCCATCATCCTCCCACACGCCACGCCCAGGGAGGATCACAGGGCCTTCTGCCAAAGCTTAGGCCTGCTGCGGTTGAGCCTTGCCCTGTGCGGGGCGTGACAGATGGCCCAGGCGCCAGGGCGGAGCACTGCCCTGCGCGGAGTTTCAGTGAAACCCCACGTGGCGGGCTGCCACTGGCTGACTGCTAAGTTAGAATGTTGTTCTATATGCCTCTTGAAGGAATGAATGTTCCTTAAAACATGATGTGTACTGATTTATAAAGTTCAGGGATTAAACTTATAAATTATATAAATTAACTCTATACATTAACCTTTTCTGAATAGCGTGGTATTTTTTCTCTTTGGATATATATATTTAATACACAAATTTTACATATTTTTTCATTTTTTAATTACAGTTTACATTCAATATTATTTACAGAGTGGTCCCTCAATACCTATATATTCTTTTTTATTTAACATCTGCCACAGTTGTGAGGTGAGACAAACCTGTCAGGCTGTGGAACAAACATTTCAAAGGGGGGGATGGATCTGGATCA